CACTGACACCAGATTATAAAGCGATTTATTTAATGCTGATTTTCAGATTCTTGACCACTTATGACAGCAGCGTCGTCAGCGAACTGGAACCAGTGAATGGGATTTAACAACTTAAGGGAAAAGCCAAATTGACGATACTTTTCAGATACTTCTCATCCAATTGGAATGAAAGGAGTGTTAAAATCATCAGTAATTATTGACGTTTTGAAATCAGTGTACAAGCTTTTAACCATAAATTTGGTGTGATCGGGAATGTGTTGGTAATCAAGGACTGCTTGAATTAAGTTATGATGGACTTCACCAAAGGCATTCTTCAGGTCAAGTAGAGTTATGACAAGAGAGCATTGCTTAAAGGGACACTGTCAATAGCACGCATGCGCGAGTAAACTTGAAAACACTAGGCTAGCTAAATATTTAAGTGAAGATGATGGAATAAGAACATTCTAGCATGAAAGAGAAAATCAGAAAGGATTACTATAGACGAATACGACTGGTGCTAAAATCAGAACTAAATGCCACTAACAGAGTAAATGCAATCAACACGCTTGCAGTCCCAGTTGTCTCGTACAGCTTCAATATCATTAATTGGAAATCAAAGACTTAAGAAGACTAGATAGAAAAACTGGAGAGCTGCTGACAACTGCAAAAATGCACCATCCTAAAGACGATGTCGATAGGCTTTACCTTCCAAGAACATCAGGTGGTAGAGGTCTTATTCAAATCGAGACAAGCTACGTAAACCACTATCGGTCTTCACACGTATTTGAGGACTCCAATGAGGACTGCCTTCTTATGACTGCTAGAGAGCATGAGCAATTGAAGAACACACAGCATCTGTAAATGTTCAAGCTGCTAAGTTTAAAAGAGAATTCGATGTACCAGACATCGAAAAATTGGACAATGAAGAAGCTACCACCTTTGTCTAGTACATAGGATTTTCATTCTCGATTCTGATTGGCTACCGCGCGCTTTTACATCATTGAACGTGATTGGCTGGGGAACTCATGTCAATATGGCGGCTGAAAGGTGATATCGAAGAGATGTGTAAAGCAACWAGTTCAAACTCTGAAGCTACGTTATCGACGTTATCGGCAACATGTGGTGTCTAAGAAAAGTTAGTTGTTCTTTTGACGTTTGWTAGTGTAGAAGCTACCAAGAAAGTTATCGTACAGTCAGTCTTTCAGTTATTTTGAAGGGTCTAAAGCGATGACTTGCGAGTCACTGTTTTCACACTTTGTCGAACTTTTTCACCTTTGTAACTTTTTCATATTTTAGACTAGTTTGTGAAGAAGACCTGTGTAGACCATTGATGCGATACTTATGTGACCCAAAAGAAGCAATATGTACACCACTCTAGACATATATAGTTTTTGTGAAACAGATACAACAAAAAAGTTAATAATTTTTGTTTTCTAAATTTTCTGAACAGCATTATTTATCTGCACTATTT